CTACAGATTTTGACTATATCTAGTTTCACACCCCGCTTGCATTTCCTGCTGGGAAGGTTAGGATAAAAGACAGTGGCGGATTTTTTTCCCCTTCTTAATTTTTGTTTTGTTTTGTATTTGCTTTTCTTCTTTTTTACCCCCTCATTTATTACATTTTATTAATGCATGGTAACATGTATTTTTATTTTTTCCCCTAATTTAAGAGGAAGGACAAGAGCATTTTTGCTGACACTCAGTCCCAGACATATTCTACAAAAGCAGAAAAACTAGCTGGCCCAGAAACAATTTCTGAAATCACCCCCTTCCCTCTCTAACCTCTACATTTTGACACATGTACATTTGACCAAGTTTAGAGGTGTCCCAAGAATCAACAGTGAAGCTTATCCCTAAGTTGTTACATGGCTGTAAATAATTTTCTGAAGTCCACTACCAATGTGCCAGAGAGAAGGGATAATTAAATTCAGTCTCTCCCCTTCACAGTAAAGTGGAAGACACCACAGTAATCTCTCAGGAAAATAAATCTCTCCTAGAAGAAATGCTTCAGCATGCATAATTTGTGCACACATCACTGGTCCTCTCTTTTCTGTATCAGCACCTTTCAAGATCCATTTTTTCATCATTCCTATTGAAGTTCTGAGGCAAATTTTGCATAACATTTATTCCACCCTTACTACTTGCTCCTCACATCAGCCCTGCAGCCCCAAAGCTACTGGCTTGGTACTGGTAAAGCCTCAAAGAAGATGTTGCGTAAGCAGGTTAGTGTGATTATCCTACCTTTGTGTGAAAATTACTGAGGAGGGATGGGAAATGATGGGAGTAAGGTACATACACCATAATTCATTATCTGATTGTTATTGCCCTGGAGTCTCTGTAAAACAGCCACATGTCAATTCCAGAAAAGGGAGAGAACACAAAGAAAAAGTCATTCACAGTTGGAGGAAGGTAGTGAATCTTAGCAGAACTGAAAGCTTCTTCCCGCATTGAGTTTTCAATTGTCTAACTTTCCTGAGGTGGCAGGAAAGCTGATGAAACCAACTTCTACAACACTTAGTAGACCACAATGCTAAATTAGACTGCATCAAACATTTGCATGCAAACAATTTCAGAGGTGCATAAAGCTCCCCCCCAAAAAATAACCTTTTTCACATTTGTTTGTAGATGTTTGTAGTTGCTGCTGCCTCTCTCTGCTGCTACTTTATGTTTCTTTTTTACTATTTGTTAAGTTGGTTACTTAACAAAGAGTTAGAGTGATTTCAGCAAAAGATCAGCTTTATTCAGCAACTCATAACTCAATTCCAAACAGATCAACATGAATAGCCAGAACAGCTTTTACATTGCAGCTGTCCTGCTTTTAAACTCTCTTGGCTAATGTAGCCACACCTACTGTACAATTACCAACCAATAAGGTTGCATACATAAGGACCAATCACGGACGTTCCCACTCAGGGAGCTTGCTGAGAAGTGATTGGTTAGGTTCTTCCTGGCCTAGCAATGTGATTGGATGTATTTGGATCCTAGCCCAGGACGAAGCTTAACATAGCATTTCAATTATGTTGTTCACATACAGTTATGCATTCAATGGCAGCTATTGAATACATTACACTATTTGATCCCAGCCAATCAGTCATCATCTAATGAATTTTCTGACATCACAGTGCTATTAGTCCAATCAAGAAGGTAGTTCAGAGTAAGCAAGAAGCTCACTATATTGCATTGCTCCCACAGTAGGTAGGCAAGAAAAGCCGGAATGGATAATGTGGGAACTGCTGCCGCCAATGCAGGTGCCTCCCCCCACACCACTGCTGCTCTCCACCAACTTCTCCTGCATGTTCCACCTAAAAATCTGCAAAGGCAGAGGCATTTATTATCTGGATATGAAAATGTGCATGAAAAGCATATTTAATCTCAACCTCATTTGTAACTCTTTCAGTTACAGTTAAAGGCTTTCAAAAACACTAGTCTAGGCTGTGAAATGGAATCTTTCATTTCCCTACCCACTGTGCCTCAGCTCAAAGTTCGGGTTGCTATTGGGGAGGAGATTTCCTATGCTTATAACAAAGGCTTAAGAGGCAAACAAATCAGCAGGATATGCTTTCCCATTATGATATCCCCAAAAATTCCAGTACAAGAGTTCTGTTTTTCATGCAGCTATTAATGGCATAAGAATTTTGCCAGAAAAAGAAGTTGGCAACCTTAGCCAAGAAGCAGGTGACATAAGCAGTATTTCTACTTTGCCTTTTACATGAGAGGATCACATAGCTGTCATCCAGTACAGAAAAAAAGCCTTTGCCCAAGCAGATGAAATTCTCTTGTCTGAACCTGATCTCAGATTTTAGGCAACAGAACAGTTCTCACTATTCTGCCCTTCATAATTAACATGTTTTGCAAGAGTGGCCTCCTTCGTGGGTGATTACAAAGAAAGTTAAGTCAAGGAAGGAAGAGAGGTTAGAGATAAAAAGAAATGTTTTTTTAAAGTTCAAATCTGACATTTCCATTTTCAACATCCGGATTCCGAATTTAAAATCGACACCCAACATCTTAAATTGGCCCTCAACATTTAATTTTTTGTCTCTTCTGTTCTGATTGGCTGTTTACAAAGAGGCTTCTTCATTAATATAATCAATGAGTGATATTAAAGAGTCAGGATTTAGTAGATACAATTGAATGCTGGCTGTCAAACAGTGAATATGACTTGCATGTCCATGCTCAAATATCAAGCATCAGTATCAAACTGAATACTGAAATCAAAGAAAATGTTGACAACAAGTATTGTTGGAATATATATGACATCAAAATGAGCAGAGGAGAATTGTGGGTGGCAAATTAAGTTAAATTAAGCAGAGTAGAAATTCCAGTATGTTTTTTATTACTAAGAACAAAGTCCACTTTTTAACTTGATCTTCTCCTCAAGACCTGTGCCTGAGGGCCAAACCAGATGTCCACTGGGAGTTCAGTGTTCAGAAGACTTTCCTCACTGGAGAAATTTGTGTGTACTGGTAAAGGTACAAATAAGTGTTCTCAATGGGGCAAATACTGGCTCCACAGAGTCATTTCAGAGAAATGACAAAGTGCAGGGAGGGATTCCCCACCCCCACCCCACATAGTGCAGTCCCAATCCAAATTGGGCTTCTGCACACCTGAGAATTAACTTTTTAAAAAATTGATGAGAGCACAGTGAACTTCCAGTTTGGCCTTTAGATGGAACAAGGGGGCGGGTCCCGCGATACTCGTGGGGGGGGACCTCCACACAGGAGGCAGAGGAGGAAGCAGGAGGAGGAGGTAAGTTCCCCCCCATCCCACCGGTTCCTCCCCCGTCTCCTCCACCCCCCCTTTAAGTATCCCCCCGATATTTTTTTCAGGTTTTAAGATTTTTGTGCACACCTGGGGAGCGTACCAAGTGTGCACAAACATCTCCCTCCCCCCCAGGTGCCCCCGATGCACGGATTTAGGTATCCGCACACAGGGGGCATCTTCGGAATTAGATATATAGATTTACATGGAATCCTAGAGCCAGAAGGGACCTAAAGACCTTTAGCCAAATCCCCTGCCCTAAACCAGGACCACCCACTCATCAGCCATCACAGACCAATCTACACAGTCCACACTACAGTAAACAACAAGATGAAGGGCAAGTATATGTCTGAAAAATACCATCAGAACAAATCATCCTCATGTATATTTTAAACCCACCCAATTCTGAGCATTCTCTCTTCGGGGAGGTTATTGAACATCTAACTGAAACAAGGCTAGGGCTAGAACTGGGAAATATCAACTTTATACACACTTCAGCACCCAGACATAGGACTACTATGTGGCCTTTGTTTCCCTTGCATGTTTTATACCAATTATTACAAGCATGCCAGAATTTTGTCAAAATATTTTATTTGGAAAGCCTCTTCCCAGGCTGCAAGTGGAAACAGATCTGGTCTCTGGTAGCTGCTGGCTTCCCCAGAATGGAGCACAGAGAAATCAGCTAGCAACAGATGGTGCTGTCTTCCAAAAGAGTATAGCCAACAGCAACTTTAACTGAAGCCTGCCACTAGTCACCTTGCCTTTTGACTCAGTCTGGATCACTGAGCAGAGTTCACTGCAAAGGTCCTGGAAAAAAAGCCCACAGCCAATGGGGAAAAAGTACTTGCACAGGTAGCTACCAACTCTTCCCTTTCTCGTTAAGAGATTTCTTTGTATAGGAATAAACAAGGGACAGTGGTAGAATTAGCCAAAAATATTTCCCTATATGACCTTATACATATTCTGCACAACATGGAAATGTGGGCTTGTATCCTACGCAGTACAGCTGGAGCTGCACTACATAAATGGCAATTCCCCAGGCTCCTCCTCCTGTTGAGGTCTTCTGCCCCCCCCCCCCCCAAATTGTGCCCCTGTGGCCGGTAGATTCCCTGGATCATTACAGGGATCAAAGTGCAGGGAACTGCAGCTAGAAAGTAGAAATCAGCAAAAATCAGCTTCCCCCGCCTTCCATAGGAGTGAGTGACTTCAGTGAATTGAATGGGAGGTTAGGTATGCAGCATCTCCAATTATTTACACTGGGCATCAATTTTTCAATGAAATGAATGACCATCTAGGAAGCAGGAAGGCCAGAGTGTAAGCTCTGCTTGTGCTACTAGAGCGTCTTTGTTGCCCCATACAAGAGTCTGCCCCAGAGATATCCTTTCTTTGAAGATACTAAACTGCAATTCCCTACTTTTCACAGAGATTTTTGGGTCAGTGCTTTGGGATCTCTGTGTGCACCATAACAGCAAATGGCTACCTGAATGTGTCTCACTCCTCACAGACCCTCTTTGTGTGTCATGCTCTGTTGCCTCCTGCAGGAGAAGATCTAGCAGCACCCAAACCTGTTAACAGCCTACCATACCTAGCACAGCTGATCCAACAGCAAAAATCCCTCATGCTGGCACAATTATGCATCATAAACAGAGAAGAATCACAGGTGGAGTGAACTGCCTTAAGCTACTGGCAGAAGTGCATTGTTTACTCACAGTCCGTTCACTATCCAGATTGGCATTTTGTCTCCGGAGATCGGCTTTGATAAACACTAGAACATAGTAGGAAGAAAAATTAGAATAAGAAATTCACCATGTAGGTCATAATTAGCTGTTGCAAGGTGACATCTGATTGAGGGGACATAAAAGAATACTGTATAAAATTTGTCAAGGAAAGCAGATTGGGGGGAGAACAGACCCGTCTTAAAATTGTGGGTTTCTTTCAGCATACCCTTCTTAAAATATTGGAGGTTTGTTAACCTCAAGAGGTATGTCCTGACCATTAGTGGAAGCACACACCACTCAACCTGTTAGTCAGAAAGAAGAAAGGTGTAAGTAACTTGTCTTGAGGGACTGACACTACAGCCATAATTGGCAAGTAATGAATGTTACAACTGAAAAAAAGGAATGATGGGACAGCAACATTGATTCTGCCTTTCACATGAGTCAAGGGCTGTTTAACCCTTCTTTAACCAGTGGGAAGAATAAGATAAGCTTTGAAAGAGATCTTCCTTTAGGGGCTGTGGCTCAGCATCTGCTTGGCTTGCAGATGGTCCCAGGTTCAATCCCCGGCATCTCCAGTTGAAAGGACCAGGTAGTAGGTGATGTGAAAGAATTTCTGCCTGAGACCCTGGAGAGCTGCTGCCAGTCTGAGTAGACAATACTGACCTTGATGGACCAATGGTCTGATTCAGTGTCAGGTAGCTTCATGTGTGTTCATGTATGAATTTCAGCCACTCAACCGCTATTTCCCTGGTCTATGCACAGAAATGTGTCAGTGATGTCCTTGCTGAAGAGAGGCTTCTGCCAAAGGCTCTCTCACAGCTCACTTGACAGGAGAGGAGATTAAAAAGCCCTTTGCCTGTGTTTCTGCCTGGGAAATGATGGAAATGTACAGTAGTGGGAATATGGAGGTGGGGAGTCCTTAGAATCAGGGACTACATTGTGGATCAGATGGAAAGCTATCAGGCATTAAATATGGCCCCAGGGCCTCAGTCAGATATCCCAGAACTAGTATGCATTAAGCTGAAGCACCAATATAAATACTGTATCAAGAAGCCCAGAGAAAGCTTGGAGAACTTTTGGAGGGTATAGTTACCAGTTATAATAGTGCCGACGAACAGAAAGCCACAGAGGAAGAGGTTTCCTGCTCGAGTCCCAAAGTGATCAATGATCTGTCCTTGGCTGATGGTGAAAATTATTCCAAAGATCTAGCACACAGTGAAAAAGTAGACTTAGCAGAAACTGAGCAGAGAAGTACTTAGCCACCTTAAGCCCCTTTGTTGTCCAGCTATATTACATGTCACCACTTAATACAAAGGCCGCATTGTCTAGCTTTGCACCACGAGATGGAATATTAATGGTTGTTGCCTAGAATGGTCGAAGTAAATTTCATCTTGTCAAAAGGAGCATCAAGAGTGCCAGTAGCTGGATGTGTCCTAGGCAGTGTTCCCTCTAAGCTGAGTTAGTGTGAGCCAGCTCACAGTTTTTCAGCCTCCGGCTCACACAGTTTTGTCTCCGCTCAGGAAGGGTGGCTCCAGAGCAAACTGATGTATGCAGTAGCCAAATTGCTTGCTCACAACTTTAATGCCAGTAGCTCACAAAGTAGAATTTTGGCTCACAAGACTCCACAGCTTAGAGGGAACATTGGTCCTAGGCTGTTGGAATCAGCTCCAAAACCATTCAATCTGGAAATTGCTGGGGACAAAATATTGAGTTACTAGCAGTGTTCCCTCTAAGCTGAGTTAGTGTGAGCTAGCTCACAGTTTTTTAGCCTCCAGCTCACACATTTTTGTCTTAGCTCAGAAAGGACAGCTTCAGAGCTAACTAATTTATGCAGTAGCCAAATTGCTTGCTCACAACTTTAATGCCAGTAGCTCACAAAGTAGAATTTTTGCTCACCAGACTCCACAGCATAGAGGGAGCACTGGTTACTAGCAGTGCAATCCTATGCAGAGTTTCTCCAGTCTAAGCCCACTGACTTCAGCAGACTTAGACTGGAGTAACTCTGCGTAGGAATGCACTGTAATATACTTCACCTGTTTAAGATAGCCTGTTCTTGCATTGGCAGCTGGAAGTTCCCCTTTATAAACATTTTTGTCTGAGAACTGTTTATGAGAGAGGTCAAAATTATAAAGCACTTTGTACATATAAAAGCATTACAGATATTTAGTAGCACTCAAGCAGCAGCATAACAGTTCAGCTCAGGTGGTCATTTATTTTATTTTATTTTTTGCTATTTTTGGTATTTTTTGTGTGCGTGTGTGTGCATGTGTGTATGTGCTTGTGAGCCTGGAAGTCATGGTGACTTCTGGCAACCCCTAGTGGGGTTTGGACATTTCAGAGAGGTGGCTTGATAACCTGCCACTGCATCCTGAGCCCTGGTATTCCTTGGAGGTCTCCCTTGCAAGTACTTGCCAGGGTTGGCCCTGTTTAGCTTCCGAGATCTGACGAAATCGGGCTTGCCCGGGCTACTCAGGTCAGGGCAGTCATGAGGTCATTTATCACAAAATCTTTTCTGCAATGATGGTCCTGTTGCCCTAATCAGATACGTTTACATGTGTTGTTCTCCTTTTTCTCCCTGTTCTACAATCTCAGTCCAACTGCCTTACTGGGAATATTTGCCATGAGATTCAAATGTTGTTATATCTTGTGATCCCCTCACTGACTGACTGAATTTTGTTATCATATTTGTAATCTGACTTGGATCCCAGTGAGAAATGAGGACTATAAGTGAAAAGAATACAATGAAATAACATAATGTGGGGGGGGGGAGTGCTGTCAAGTTGCAGCCGATTTATGGTGACCCCATGGGGTTTTCAAAGCAAGAGACATTCAGAGGTGATTTCCCATTGCCTGCCTCTGTATGGCAAGCAACCCTTGTGGTCTCCCATTCAAGTACTAACCAAGGCCAACCCTGCCTAGCTTCCAAGATCTGTTGAGATCGGGCTAGCCTGGGCCATCCACGTCAAGGCAACATAATTTCATTAATTACTCTTGTTATTGCAGAGGACAAAATGCCTTCTCATTGCTAGGAAGACGGCAACTTACTGATATGTCTCTCGGTCACAGAGTTGGGGCTTTTGGATGCTGCCATTAGAAAGCCAAGGAGCTCTAGCATCCTAAAGATTGTTCTTGGAAACGAGTCAAAGGCAGTCAGGCCTAAGTCTACATTCCAGTATTTGATTGTGACATGCATTATGGGAGAGTGCTGGGTTGATCAAAAGACTGAGTTGTATTTCCTGTGGGTACATTCTCCTCTCTATATTTATTGAACAAGCACTCACTTGCGCAGATACATTAAGAAGGCCTGATGACGTCCCTTCTGACTCTGGGTACGTTAACTCGGCAGCATATTCAAAGCCCAGTGGTAAGTAACCCGTCATGAAAAACCTGCCAGGCAAGATCAGCAAATGAAACCATCAGTAGCTGCTATGTCAGACCACATCTCATTAGCGGCAATTCCAGAATGATCAGGGATCTGTTTTTTAAAAATGGTACTGTTCCGTGCCCCGTTTTGCTCAAGCCTCAAAAACAAAAGCCCATCTGCTTCATAGGGGTGTTTCATTCACTCTCTCCAAAGCAAGATGTTGAGATTAAGCAGGAACATGACTGCTGCAGATGTTTCACAGCCCTCACTATGCCAAGGATCCATTGCTCGTGATGCCTCCTTCTTTTTTCACTTCAGTGGAGAGGTTTCCATCTCAGTGTCAGGGAACACAGCAAAATGTCCGCTGAGGGCAGTTCCCTGCTAAGAAAGGAGAATTAAACACGGGCAAGAAAAGAAACTTGAACTTACCCCAGTGCACCTGCAGTCACAAAGACCACCCAGATGAAGCCCAGGTCCAGAGTAAATGTATAAACCACCATTCCCACAAGTGACATGACGTAAACCAACAGCGTTGTCTGCCTTTAAAAAACAAAGTGTCATTAGGATTAAATACCTTGTACTTCCACACAAGAATCAAAGCCAGTTCTTCCCAAACAGAATGTGAACATCAAACTAAGAAACAAGGAGCAGAGCAGTGAGGAAGCTGCTCAGAGACTAACCTGCAATTTTGAGGGTTTTTCCCCTGTGGCATAAAACAAATAAAAGAAGAAGTCCCTTCAAAACAAGCTCTTTGTTGTGCTGAAAAAATATGCTTTTGACATACATGTGCTTATTTTTTCAAAATTTTCTCTCCAGTGTCACAAACAAAAGCTGTTGTGCTTCTATGGAAAGGCATCAAAAATAAATATTTTTCCTACTGGTAAAGCCCTTTATTTAGCTATAATATATTTATAAATATCTGGAATAACTCTTTTCTCTTCCATTGTTTACTTCTTTACATTTTCCTTTACTGCTGGGAGACTACCAAAGCAAGACCCAAGTCCTAATAGAAATACATAATAATAATTGGAACAGAACTGAGTGAATTTGCTCAGACCTAGGAATGGCTGTAGTCATAATAAAAGTGCAGGTTTGGAGTTTTCAAAGAATTTGGTAAAGGGTCAGATGGTGCAGGACATAGAAAGGTGCAGAGCATGTGAACTGGGATGAGGTAGTCAGTGCAGAAGGAATGAAGGTGGCATGGTATTATATAGCCCTATCTCGTCAGACTTTAGAAGCTAAAGCAGAGTCAGTACTTGAATGGGAGCCCACCTAAGGAAGACTCTGCAGAGGAAGACAATGGCAAACCACCGCTGCTTCCCACTTGTCCTGAAAGCCCCTTGCTGGGGTTACCATAAGTTGCTTGCAACTTGATGGTATATACATAAGTGCACATATCTCTGTGTAGCTGAAGAATGTAGCCAACAGGAATTATGTGGGCTCTTGAGACTGCAGCCACACAGTTTTCATGATTTCAAGATACTCTTACATACTGTAAGCCAACCACTTACATAAAGAAAAGAAACCAAGAGATGGATGAGCTAATCAGGCTTATCTTTCTGAATGCTGCAAATATTTTCATGATTTTTGAAGGGAAAAGTTACATCTATTGATGTATATAATTGTGCAACAGTTTTGTAACAGTCTGATTAGTTTATCATCTGGGTATTTGGAACATGATACAGCTGAGGACTTTACAGGCACTCGGTAAGTACTTGTTTAATATTTATTATTACTGTTATAGTGAGGTCCTTTATGGGGGGGGGGACCAAGAATGGGAAGAGACGGCAACAGATACTAAATTCTGATATTTCAACAGAACCCTGCCTGCAAACACAAGGAAGACATACAACCCTGTCTTGCTATGATATGGAACCTCACTGGATGATCATGGGCCAGTCACTCTCAGCCTAAACTACCTCACAGGGCTGTTGTGAGGATAAAAATGGAGAAGAGGAAAATTATATTATAAACCACTTTGGGTCCCTATTGGGGAGAAAGGTGGGGTATAAATACAGTGCATGAATAACAGTTCAGCACTCTAGTCACTGCACCAGACTAGCTCTCCTTTCCAGCAGCACAAGCAGTCATAGCATGCTCCTGTTCCTTGTTTGCATGCTCTGCCTGCTCCTCTTGAGAGAATTAAAAGTTTTGCACAATGAGCCATGGGAAAAGGAAGCCCTCCCTGAAGTCAGCCAGAGACAGCGCCACAGGGAAGTACTGCCGAACTGAAGACACATGCCCTATTCACTAAATGCTGTCTGGGGATGGGAGGGGGAGCGAGAAGAGCACAGTTCTATTCAGCCACCAGAAAGGCTAACCGTTCTTCAGGCAATTCTAGCACAATCTCTCACAAGCCAAGAAAGCCTACCTGGAGAATTCATCATATCTTACAGTCTAATTTCCCCCCCCCCCCATATTTCCTTAGTTGTTCACGAGTGTCTCCTGGAGTGTCTCTTTCTAAAGGGGGGGGGGAGGGAAAGATAGAGTCTCCCCCTTTCCCCCCAGTTAACATATTCCTTGATTTCAGAGGCAGCAGTTGCCGAGGGGGAAAGAGGCAGAGCTATTTGGTTCATGCTCTGCTTGTTGGCTTCCTGGGGGGCTGCCCTGGCATCTGGTAAGCCACAGTAAAAAACAGAATGTAGGATTTAAATGGACCCTTGGTCTGATCAACAGACTATTATCACAGTGAGCAAACCCTTCTGCCTTTTTCCTCCTAAATTCCAAGCTCACTCAGGCTAAAGATCATAATTTTTTAAAAAAAATTGATCTAAACATCTAAAGCATGAAAGCACTCTGCTTAACTCAAAAGTTGCCAGGCTGTGCTTGCCATAAAAGCAGCCTTTAATCTCCAAGAATAGTGTCATCCACACTTAGAAGGATACAAGAAGGGGGACCCGCGATACTCGCGGGGGGGGCACTGCACGGCGAGGTCGGGGCTGAACCGGGGAGGCCGGTAGCGGCGGCGGCAGTGGCGGCCGGGAATGCGTGTCGTCCTCCCCCCCTTCCTCGGCCTAGTCTGGGGCATCGGCGGCTCTTCCTCCGGGAACAGATTGCGTGCTTGCTGCCTCAGGCCCCCCCACCTTTCCCGCCCGCCGGCCGTATCAGGACGCTGAAGGGCCGGGGACACTGCGGCCCGGGCGGGGGAGGTGACTCAACAGAGGAGAGGAAGCCGGCGAAGAGGAGCGAGGCCCTGCAGAAAGGCAAGGTGGGCTGGGGGCGAGGGAAAGAACGCGCTGCCCCTCCTGCTGGCCGCAAACTCCAACCCCCGTTCCAAGAGCGTTCCGCGCGCATGCGCAGGGGACGCTCTTTTTTATTTTGGCAAATTTAAGGACCCTCGGAAATTTTTCACACTTTTAAGATTTTTGTGCACACGTGGGGACCGCCCCACGTGTGCACAAACCTCTCCCTGCCCCCCAGGTGGCCCCGGAGCGCGGATTTAGATATCCGCATAGACGGGGCCACTTGGCTATTAGATATATAGATAACTCTACTTAGGATTCTACTTACTGTTCATCTCCCAGTTTCTCAGACCACAGAGCAAGCCTAAGAGCACTGCTGGATCAGACCAGTGGTCATCCAGTCCAGCACCCTGTTTTACACAGTGACCAACCAGTTATTCTAAAGGGTCAACAAGTGGGACATGAAGGCCAAGGCTCACCCCTGATGCTGCCTCCCAGCACTGTTAGTTCACTGAATAGGGAGGTTCCCTTTAGTCATCATGGCTAGTAGCTGCCTATGCTCATGGCCATCACTACAACCACAGGCGGTGAATTCCACAGTTCAATTACACACTGAGTAAATAATATTTCCTTCAGTGTTTCCTGAATCTATTGCTCATTAACTTTATTAGGTGCCCTAAAGTATCTAGTACTATGGGATGACTATGTTGCCAGCTTGGTAAGGCAGGGAACAGCTGCAGTGCTGGCTCAGCATTTAAGGATGCATGATCTTCAAGCTCCTGTAGCGGCTGAGGATTATCACCTGTGTTATTCTATGAAAAGACCTCTTTGGTGGGTCTTCCTCCACTTCCCCTTTTGGTTAGCAGCACGTTTCCTCGATGGAGCACATACCAGTGTGTGTTCCTCCATTTTATTCTCATGTCATCCCTGCGAGGCAGGGGTAGACTGAAAGTGTGAATGATTTCCCCTGTCTAGGGCCCAAACCAGATGTGCTGGGAAAAGACCTGTAAATATGTCCCCCAGTGGGCAAGGGCAGTGGCTCAGTGGTGGAACATCTGCTTGGCACACAGAAGGTTCCAGGTGCAATCTCTGGAAAATCCAGTTTTTAAAAGGATCTGGTATTGGAGATGTAAAAGCACTATCCCCGTGGCCCTGGAAAGCCACTACCATTTAGAGCAGACAATACCAACATTGATAAACCAGAAACCTGACTCAGTATAAGGCAGCGTCATGTGTCCATGTGACCTCAGCAGTGATAGTGCACATTCATTAATTTCTTCCATCCTCCTCTTGACTGTCTGCAGCAAACTGAGGATTCCTCCTCAGCCTCTCTTCTGTCATGTCAGCAAAAAGTGTCTGCCTTCCCCCACCATGTAGATCATGAGATTGCTTATATGCCCTGTGCATGCCATGCAGGCCAAAAGGAGGACCCTCTGAAATTTCACTTCCCCTTATGATACATCCAAGTTCCTCATTCAGTGCCCTGCAGCTGACTCTCCCTTGCCAAACTAGCAACAGAGTCCTCCTCATCTCCTTGCATGACCATGAGAGCCACAGCTATTTAGCCTCCTGTGTTGCACTGTCCCAGCAGGGGGGAAATAAGCAATTCTGTATGGAAGTAGTGACAGACTTCATGTTCCTGGGATCCCAGGTCACCGCAGACTGTGACAGCAGTCATGAAATTAAAAGACGCCTGCTCCTTGGGAGGAAAGCGATGGCGAACCTAAACAGCATGATAAAAAGTAGAGACATCACCCTGCCAACAAAAGTCCGCATGGTCAAAGCAATGGTATTCCCAGTAGTCATGTATGGCTGGCTGCGAGAGTTGGACTATAAGGAAGGCCGAGTGCCGAAGAATAGATGCTTTTGAACTATGGTGCTGGAGAAGACTCTTGAGAGTCCCTTGGACTGCAAGAAGATCAAATCAGTCAATCCTAAAAGAAATCAACCCTGACTGTTCCCTGGAAGGCCAGATAATGAAACTGGAGCTCAAATACTTTGGCCACCAAATGAGAAGGGAGCACTCACTGGAGAAGACCCTGATGCTGGGAAAGACTGAAGGTCAAAGAAGATGGGGACGGCAAAGGATGAGATGGTTAGACAGTGTCATAGATGCAACGAACATGAAGTTGAGCAAACTTCAGAGGACGGCGGAAGACCGGAAGGCCTGGCGGGATCTGGTCCATGGGGTCGCAAAGAGTCGGACTCGACTGTGCGACTGAACAACAAAAATGGCTGACTAGTGACTGAGAAGGCAGAGGCCAGCAAAGAAAAGACAGCAGAAAACTGAGACATGGCAAGCATGAGGCTAACAACTCAGAGCAGAGACCGTTTAATAGGTGATAGTAAGAGTCTCCAGCAGTGTTCCCTCTAAGCTGAGTCAGTGTGAGGTAGCTCACAGGTTTTTAGCCTCCAGCTCACAGATTTTTGTTTTAGCTCGGGAAGGGCGGCTCCAGAGCAAACTAATTTATGCAGTAGTCAAATCGTCTGCTCACAACTTTAATGCCAGTAGCTCACAAAGTAGCATTTTTGCTCACAAGGCTCTGCAGCTTAGAGGGAACAGGCATATTACATTCAGAAGAATTATGCTGCATCCAATATATTTTCAGGCACTCAGAATATCAACAAAACTGTAAAAATACCTAAAAACCACAAAGGGGGGGGGGAGAGAATACATCACCAACACTGTAACGACTCTAGAAAGGCCTGATAGAATAGGTATTGAGATTATTTTTTTCTTGGCACATGCACTTCGTGGCACCTCAAGGCTTCCACAAAAAATGGACATCTTTCATCCTGCAGCAGTTTAACCTGCACTTGCTACTACCACTACTCGCGTGTGAGAAACAGTAGCACTTGCTACTACCACTACTCCCGTGTGAGAAACAGAGCCTGACTCCATCTTATCCCTCTTGAAACTACAAGACATCATGACATTAATTTCCCAGAGAGGAAACTTTAGTATCTTGACTAGGCCCAAAATCCTAAACCAAAATTTGAAAGGCCAAGAAATAACTAGACAAGGCCAATTTCTTTAGAGGTACTCCCTGTGGACACAAGATGATGCCGCCTGGACTTTTCTTAAACAGCTCTTGATACAATGGATAAAGTCTTTGCTAGCATGATTACATCTTAAATCACCAGCTTCTGATAGATATGGCACAGATTTCCATGCAGCAGCACAGCTGCCCTCTAAGGATGGCAAGTTAACAGTGCCTTGAATGTATGTGCAGAAAAGAGCAAGAGTCCAGTAGCACCTTAAAGACTAACAAAATTTGTGGCACAGTATGCGCTTTTGTGAGTCACAAAAGCGCATACCCTGCCACACATTTTGTTAGCCTTTAAGGTGCTACTGGACTCTTGCTCTTTTCTGCTGCTGCTGTTACCTTGGCCCCTCTTATTTGTAAGACCGCCTCTCTCCCTATGTTCTGCCACGACAAATTCGACAAATTCACTCAAGTCAGCAGGGGCTTCTGTAAGTGTCAACCTGGAAATGGGCAAAATCAATAACTGCCTGGCCTGTACATATGCTTTCTGTGGCTCCCTGTGGCTCCAGCCTCACAGAATGGCCTGCCCGAGGTCAGGGAAGCTCTTACTCACCTGGCTTCCCACAAACCACTAGGGTTGCCAGGTCTCACCACTCCTATGGTGGGGAGGGCTCCTGGCTCCTCGCTGGGACTCTTCTGCCACAATGACATCACCGGTAGTGACATCATCAAGCTAGGGCATCACGTGACAATGCTCTAGCGTTCAGTGACATCATTGTTTCAGCAGTGTCCCTGCAGGATGCTTAGGGTTGCCAACCCTCAGGTCCAGGTGGTGGTTCCCCCACTCCTGGGGGCTCCAATCTGCCCCCGGCCATGTGGCCGGTGAGGAAAGCCCTGTCCCCAAGCCACAGCCACCTGCGGCCACCCCTTTCCCTCCCTGCTAAAAGATTTAAAGGGCCCTCCAGCTGGTAGGTGGGCCATGTGCTCCTCGCCGATCAGGTGAAGCCCTTTAATTTTTTTAAGAGAGGGGGAGAGGAGTGGTTGTGGGTGGCCATGGCTTGGGGGTGGGGCTTGGGGGTGGGGTTTACCCCACTGGCCAGCTGGCCGGGGGCGGATCGGAGCCCCCAGGAGCAGGGGAACAGAAGGGATTTGGGGCATCCCCACCCATCCTGGAACACCCCCCAAATCCCCCCACCGGATTAATGAGGGGGACTGGCAACCCTAAAGACGTGGCTGCTTGGGGGTGGGCTTCCCCCAGATTGGGGGCCCCGAAATCAGGGGATCCCCTGGCCCCACCAGGGGGATGGCAACTCTATACAAAATTGAACTATACAAGAGGGTTTTTCTGTGCAGGTAATAGGGCTGCACTGCACAAAATTGGTTTTACAAACTTGCTTGAATAAGTGATCAGTGACTGTGGTCTGTACAGAAGTGTGGATCTTATTGTAAGTAGGATCCTATTTATGTAATTTTTGTATTGTTCAATGTGTTATGTGAACACTAATGCTGTGCTCATTTTAAAGGATACTTTTTTTCTTTTTCAGAGAGCAGCTTCTGGGGCTGCAGTTGCTTGAGGGAGACTAGGACCTTCCCCTGTTTCTCACCTGCAAGTGCCCCTCCCCCAATCTTCTCACCTCTTTCTGGATTCATGTCTAGTTTCAGAGCCCAACTGCTTATTTCCTCAAAGCAAGCCTGGGAATTTAAGTAGTTGCCCCATATGATCTTCCCGTCTCCTTGTTCTTAGTACTGACTGCAACAGACCAAAGGTCTGACTTATGCGTTCAGAGAAGCGGTTGAACACTCCTATCTCTGCCTGCCAGTCTTCCCTGCTAAGAGCCAAACTAGATGTCACTTCTTTCACAAGTTCACCACAGGGACTTGCAGTCATACTGCAGCTGCAAACCCTCATAGCAATTTGTAAGTAAAAAGCACAGACAGGCCTAATTATGATTGGAAAAGCAGGGCAGGGCGGAGAGGCTCTTCCACACCTTCACACACCATTTTCAACCCTTGTTGGCTAGATAACCAGATTTGGTACATACCTGAATCCCCCCCCCCCATATTGCTATGCTCATGGGCCTACCCCTTCTCCAAACCAAAGGCAGAGAAGGGAGGAGGTAGTACGAAGGACTTACTTGTATGTTTTTGTTCTGTCCAACCAGATGCCTGAAATCAAAGCTCCAACCATGCCCGCTACTACAAGAGTCAGACCAATTCTGCCAGCATTCAGCTCTTGTCCCTGAAGTAACACAAAGAAAGAGAGAGAGAATAACTAAGCTTCATCTGCAAGAGAACTTCCTCTTCATTGAAAGGTCCAATTTCTAGCACCGGACGGTTCTCATAATGGAGGGGAGCTAGTGGGGGGGGGTGTCCCACAGGGATCAGTATTGGAACCTGCACTATTTAATTTGTTCACAAACTATTTGGAATTGGGGTGAGCAGTGCAGTGGCTGGAGCAGCCATAATATCCCCGACTTGTCTGATATTGTCAGAGCACAGATACAGGGTCGTTACTTGAACAGGAAACCACCCAGGAAGACTGGGGCCACTATGCAGAGGGAGGCAACGACAAACCACTGCTCATCTCTTGCCTTGAAAATGCCATGAGGTGAAACTTCATAGGGTTGCTATGGATCATCTCAGTGGCACACTTTCCCTTAGTGAAGTGGACAAGTTTGCAGATGATTCCAAATTCCTCAAGACGGTGAAAAAGAAGGTGGATTGGGAAGAGCTATAAGAGGATGTGTCTGAACTGGGTGAGTGGGCAACAACATGGCAAATGAAGTTCAAAGTGTAAGGTGATTATGCCCCATAGAACAAAAAATCATAACTTTTAAGTATATGCTGGTGAGGTCTGAGCTGGCTGAGAGTGAAAGAGATCTTGAGGTTGTAGTGGATAGCTCGATGAAAATGTTAATTCAGTCTATGCAGTAGCAGTAAAAAAGGCAAACTTTGCCGGAGTTTATTAGGAAAAGAACTGAAAAATAAAATGAACAATAGTGTAGTACCCTTGTTCCTTGTATAGATTTATGCTGAGGCCTCATTTTAATTTTGTGTACAGTTTGGGTTCCTGTGTCTCAAGGCTGGGCTTTGAACCATGGGATGGAGATGGGAAGTATGACCTGGCCCCCAGAAGAAAATACTAATTCATTTTACAAATGCCTCTTGTCCACTTCAGACTTTCACCCTTTTTCATTTAATTAATGGTAACATTTTCTTACTAGTGTTTTTGTCAGATTTGATTTGTCATTTTGAAAAATAATCAATTACTTCTGAGAAAAATCAGACACATACAGTAGGAAAAGGTCAAAGGCAGTTTTAAGCCTCAACTGTGCAAACATTCTTAGATGCCCACTTTAATTCTTTCTTCTTTTCCCTATTGGGAGTTGCCAGAGCAGCACATCGCAGAAGTGTATCATTCTGCAAGGGCAAATATTTCGAAAGGCTTCACATCAGTGCTACAGAATGGATAGTCAGTACCAGACTTTTGAACGGAGTGACTTACTGGATAATGTAGCATCACCATGCGGTTTAAAAGAGTTGAAAGAGCATAGAAGCAGCCTGTGTTCAAGCCTGGAAGACAGAGGACAAGACAGCGAAATCATAGCATGCTCTGAATTACAGGGCCAAAGTGCCTGCCTAAATAGCCAGGCCCTTCCAGCACAGAAGTCACAGATGTATCTAAAAGCCTGTTGCTTGGCTCTGGTCAGCCAGTGAGTTTGGAGCAGAACTGGCATTTGAAACCTTCTCAGAGGTGGGTGGTACCTTCGACAGGTATTATTGTCTTATTTTGGTTTTGTTACTTCCCATCTTGATATAAGACTTCGGATGTTTTTCTACATAAATACAAACAAACACAAACCATTCCTCTTCCTGCAATTGTGTACTTGGTTTATTTATGGGACAAACCTGAATAAAAACTAAATGAAGACACAGAGTCAAGATAATGACACACTGTATCCTTTTTTCTTTTTCTTTTTGCCCAGGACTAATTATCTGAAATCTTTGTAACTTGTCAAAAACTACAAAAAAAGGTACAAATTTTCACGAACTAAAACATCTTGGAGGCAGAGTATGGCACTAACTGTCCCATGTCTTCACACAATTTTCTATATGAGATGACATAAATTAACTGGACACTCCCTAATGTTCCACCCACCAAAGCCATCCAATTTAACCCAGCACTTTTATTGCAGAACAAACATCTCCCTTTTATATACTGTGTTGATAAGTAGCAGTTGAGATGCCAATCACATCAGGTGACTAAGAGATACCTCACCCAAGTCATCATGTCAGGGTCAAAAAGCACTCACAGCTGCTGAGTTGTTCTTGACCCAGACCACATTTGCAACCTATTTCCCCCACCTAGAGGCAACAGAGAATATTAGTTAAGCACTGAGAACACAGTAGCCTAGGGTTGCCAGCCTTCAGGTGGGGGTTGTATTGTGCATCACTGTCTCCTTCAGCAGTGTGACTGGCAGAGGTTTTGTGACCCCTCTGCCTTTCTTGGAGAAACACTTTTTGGGACAGGAGGAATGGACTGCGTTGCAGACAATATTTTTAAAGGGTGAGTGGAGGTACAAACATTTCAACATTCTTCAAGTGCCCCCATGAAAGATTATGACAAGTGGGAGATTTTTTTCAAGTGTCCAAATTTTTGTCAAAAGAAGTTATTTGGGTTCTGCACTAGCAAGAAAAACATGAAAACTGAGAAGAGGGCGAAAGGAAAGAGAGAGGGAAATGAGGTCAAGGGGAGACAACGCAAGAGAGAGAGATCAGAACACTGACATTTCATTTTAACACACTAAATTTAATCCAAAGTCATTTGCATCACAGTTAGCCTTTAAGATTTCAGCTATATTTATTTGAAGGCAAGCACCATTTCAATTATTTCTCTGACTAGAAGGATGGGACTTGACTATTCTCAAATCATCACCCACACTTCTAAGGATCAAACCAGACATGACATGGGAGATCTGACATCAGCATCTACACACACAGAGAGAGATACACCCCGAGTCTGGGTTCCTTAAAACTACAAACAGCTGTGGAGAGGCCTAAATCAAGCCTGGACACGCCAGTGGACATGCGTTAACCCTTTTCCCTGCATCAAGCCATCGGGATGGTCTGATCATTCCATCCCAACTCAGTGCCATTTTTATTCCCCCGCTTATCAGTATGCGCATAATCACATACTCCATGGGGAACTCTCAGTGTGAAGGTGCGCATGGGGAACAAACGGCAAAAAACAACCCACTCGCATGTGGTGGCATCTGATCACACAGTGACAGCCTGAGCCCATAGCACAAAGGGATGTGTGATCTCACAACTGCGAGTCAAGTTCCTCCAGAGGAAATAGGGGCACTTCTCCTCCACTCCAAATGGTGCGTGGTGTAACTGCAGTCACATTCCATCTCTCTGTTGTTTGGCTGGGACAGTTAGGATATTACTGAATACTCTGATCACATTGGTGAGGAATCCAAAGCTGATGTGGCCTCACTCTTCCTCAAAAGTGCTAAGACAGAGAAAGTATCACACAGCTTATTTAACATGGTGTCACAAGTTGTAGAATGGAGAGCAAGAAATTACAGAAGAGAGGTAAAAATGTAGGAGAAATGTTAAGAACTTAGGAAGAGCAAGCATGCCCAACTCAGAGACATGACAGCAAGCGCCTAACATTTTTGTTTTCTCCAGCAGGAAAGACTATTATATTCTCCTAAAACAATCAGCAAGTCAGTGACCAAGGGAATGATAAGATGAACAGGAAGCTGACGGAACACATTCCAGCAGACCTGTGAAGAACGTAGACAGGAACAGTGTACTTTGCCCTTTACAACGTATTCTTTTAGCAGGCCTTCATTCTCACAGGAAAGGAGACGCAGCAAAGAACAGCCTTGATGCCAAACCTTGGGCAAGGAACTGGGATGGTCAGATGTCTCCTGCTTTCATCCTGTCATTATTGTAAATCTGCATCTCACCCTCACCCCACCCCAATCATAACTGACTATAATAAGCAGAAGACTTTGAGTGTGTTGAAACTGCAATCAACATGCAGCTGACTTATGGTGACCCTATAGCTGACTTATGGTGACCCTATAGGGTTTTCAGGGCAAGAGACTAACAGATGTGGTTTGCCACTGCCTTCCTCTGCACAATTACCCTGGAATTCCATGGTGGTCTCCTAACCAAATACTAACCAGGGTCAACCCTGTTTAGCTTCCGAGATCTGACAATACTGGGCTTAGGCTAGCCTGGGCCATCCAGGTCAGGACTTTACTGCTGTTTAATCTGGAAGTCTACTGTCAATGTTTGAACAAAAACAGCAATGTGTAAAGTCAGCCCTTTTGTATCTCTGAAGAGAAGCCACCTTAATGCTCATTTTAATATGAGAACCAGTAACTGCACAATTGAAGTCAATGCCTTACAACACCTAACATTTCTTTTAAAAAATGAATTTGTAAGCATATAGGGGAAGTCAGGCAGCCACATTCAGTACTAGAATTCAGGTTTCACAGGTAGTACTTAAGACAAATCCATAAACTGACCACATAGGTAAACCAGATTAAATGAAAGGTTTTCTTGCCAGCCCCATATATCTTTGAGGGGCCACCACATTGGCATGCAAGCTTTCCATGGAAGATACATGTGACAAAGTCCTTGCCAATTATTAACTAGTGTACAGTCAACCCAGAGAAATATTAATGTCCCATCTTTTCTCTGACCCTCACTATCCTAAATTATTATATGGTGGGAGGGAATCCCCTGTCCCCAAAGCAGCACTATTATTATATTCACTCTTTCTCTTGTATTCCCATGAGCCAGTGGTGGTATAGTGGTTAGTCCAAATACAACCAAGGAGATCCTGGCTTGGATACAAACTAGTGGGTTCAAGGACTAACATTTATGGAATATGACTTTCTTAATTCCCCTCCCACAGGAACCCAAAATTCCCACCATAAAATCCATTCCTTGTGGTCCCCTGGATTTTGAGGGAATTCTATGCTACTGCAGGAGGAGAAAGGCAAGAAAATCAAGTTCCATGAGTAGCAGTCCTTGCATCTATGGAAATGCTAGTTAGGATTTAACCCCCAGATTCACATCCTCACTTTGCCATGAAGCTTACTAAGGACCTTGAGCTAGTCACAATCTCTCAACCTAATTCACCTCACATGATTATTACAGAGATAAAATGGAGGGAACCGTGTACATGCCCTGAGTTCCTTGGAGAATGGGGCTTGATAAAAACCTAATAAATAAATTCCCGATCATAATTTAAGACACAATAATCATTCCTCTGAAACATACCTAGCCTTATAAAATCTAATTAAGCCACAACACTACATGGCCACAAACCTTTTAAAAGAGATTTATCATCTTTTAAAATGTACCTCCTTCCTTCTTCATAGACCACCATGAATGTAGTCTGACAAGAAATTGTTGGGTTTTTTTTAATTGCTTGGCACACCGCAGCCCCTGTATCTGTGTTACACAATGGGAAGTCAAGGATGGCTGGGGAAAGAGATTACAAGGAACCTTTTTCAAGTCCAGGAACTGGAAAAGACTAAACATGTTCTGATACAATCAGCTGGCATTTAATCAAATGCCTCAGAAAAAGTGAGAGATTCTCCATTTTCATTCCCTTGGGGACTGCTTACTTTATTAGTAACCAATCCCTGCACCTTTCTTCCAAATCCTATTCTACCAAATTACGAGGCAAAAAGCAAGGTTTCGCTCTGAAACTTGTACATTTTCTCAAAAGAATTCAGAAGTAGAACAATACTAGGGCTGTCTCTAGCAACTAATTGTGATGCTCAGAGCAGCAGAGATGGCTGAACGTATAAAGAAAAAAACTCCACAGTACCAAAGGACAAAGAAATGCTGGAACACCCTGCAAAACAAGCTTTACCTCAAGATTACTAGATTGTACACAGAAAAATAGCC